TCCGGTCTTATGAAGAAGTAAAAAATTGGATCGATTCGTGGATAGCCTCAAAAGATGATCAGTTTTTTCGACGCGGGATTCGTACGTTACCCGAAAGATGGGAGAAAGTAGTAGCCAGCGATGGACAATACTTTGAATCATAAATGTATAATTAGTTTTTTACAATAAAGCCTCGAATTCGGAAAAAAAACGGCGGAAAATTGTACACCTAATATTAGTTGTTGATCGAACGGATATTCGTTTACTTATAATTATCATTGGCGATAAGTATTGCTGAAGTTGGCACGCTTAACCTATGCGAATCTGCAAAATTATGTTTCAACAGAGTAATCTAACCGCAAAAGATGTTGTGACATGTCGATTTTTCATAGAAAAAAATTTTTATATTACATTTATGCACAACCGTATCTAACGTGATCTTCGTCACAACTGCCGTATCTCGACGTCTCATCAAGAAGAACTTAATTACGTATTCGTCTATTTGTCATGTAATGCAGCACTTCGATATTATTTATTAAAACATGAACTATTTATTCATATTCTATAATAAAATTTGTATCACAAATTTTGTGAAAAAAGCATTAAATTTATTGATACACAACTTTTGGCGTAAAAATTTATTTAAATTATTTTTCTTCAGTCATACTGTTTACATACTGATACAGTTCAAAGTATATTGCACTCCATGTAATGTTCCAATTCGAATATAAAAAATACACAATAAATACTGTTAACATAGTTAACAGCTTCATGTTACCAAGTTATGACAATATTATTAGGTGTACAACTTTGCTTCCGCCGTTTTCCTATAGATGGCTTTAGCGGTAAGTGGTTGAAATAAATAGATCATAGACGTCATACAATAAACTTGGGCATCTGTCAACATAACCTATAGAAACATTAATCGATTTGTGTCTGCATCATAAAGTTATTTTTGATTGAAAATGTCAGTTTACGAGCCAAATTCTCGTCATTTGCGGGAGGTTTTAATTTTTTGCTTCAATATGAAGAAATCTGCGGCTGAGGCTCATCGAATGCTCTCAAATACTTATAGTGAGGCGCTATTAGTGAAAGAACGTATCGTGAGTGGTTTCAACGCTTCAAGATTTTGACGTCGAAGACCGGCATAGCGGTGGAAAAGAGAAGGTTTTCGAAGATGCAGAATTAGAGGCATTACTTGAGCAAGACTCGTGTCAAAATCAAGAAGAATTGGCACGATCATTGGGAATGACTCAACAAGCCATTTCAAAACGCCTCAAAGCCATGGGAATGATTCAGAAGCAAGGAAATTGGGTGTCGTACGAATTGAAGAGAGATGTTGAATGGCGTTTGTTTGCTTGTGAACAGCTGCTTGAAAGGCAAAGACGGAAGGGATTTCTGCATCGCATTGTGACTGGGGACGAAAAATGGGTTCATTACGATAATCCCAAGCGCAGAAAATCATGGGAAGTTCCCGGCCATGCTTTCACGTCGACGGCCAAACCGAATATTCACGACTCCAAGGTCATGCTCTGTATTTGGTGGGACCAGCTCGGCGTAGTGTATTATGAACTGTTAAAACCGACTGAAACAATCACAGGCGATCGGTATCGAACGCAATTGATGCGTTTGAGCCGAGCATTGAAAGACAAACGGCCGCAATACAACGAGAGACACGATAAAGTGATTTTGCAGCATGACAATGCTCGACCCCATATTGCGAAAGTGGTCAAGACATACTTGAAAACGTTGAAATGGGAAGTCCTATTTCACCCGCTGTATTCTCCAGACGTTGCTCCCTCTGACTATCATTTGTTTCGATCAATGGCACACGGCCTGGCTTACCAGCACTTCCGGTCTTATGAAGAAGTAAAAAATTGGATCGATTCGTGGATAGCCTCAAAAGATGACCAGTTTTTTCGTACGCTACCCAAAAGATGGGAGAAAGTAGTGGCCAGCGATGGACAATACTTTGAATCATAAATGTATAACCAGTTTTTTATAATAAAATCTCGAATTTCGGAAAAAAAATGGCGGAAGCAAAGTTGTACACCTAATATTATACGCAACACGTATTATAACAAGTTTTACAATCAGAAAAAATTTAATTTCTTGAATAGTTTATATTAGAAAAGAGCAATTGCGGGGATCAAATAAATAAAATGACAGAAAATCATTGTCGGATTCATATTTTATAATTTATAACATCATAATTTGTCTGTATTTGCATTGAGAGTGACTCGAAAGGTTCAGACGTTTATAATAAATTGCCTATAATAAATTACGTATTATACGTTATTTATTTTTATAAAATTTATTTACATGTTTTTCTTTTTATCTACAACGCATTTTCTCAAACATCTAATACATCTTCGAAACTTCGCTACATGCCTTGTATGATAAGGAAATATGCATTGACATCGACAGCGTACAAGTTCCTGGACATTGGGATCGGTGTGGGATCTATACCTCATGTGCAAATTGCGATTGGCGATAATCAAGGAAACCGCATGTTTATATCTTATGCTACGTGGATTTAGATATAGAAATGCATGTAGATATCGAGCGATTAATGCAGTCAATAGGCCCATTATCATCACCATCATCATTCAAGATCTGTGGAACTTGTTAAAATACATAATACGAATAACATAAAGTTGATATTAAATGGCATATGTTTGTAAATGAAACCAACAACTGTACTTTTCTTATTTGAACTTGAGTAATTGAACATGTATTCTATAAAGTCAATATATACATGTCAATATATACATGTTAGTAGAAATTCGAATGTTTTGTCGTTTTTAAGACAAAATTGTATTATTAATAAAAGCTGCAAACATTTTGTAAAAAAATGATATGATAAAAATTCTATTACAGAAGTGAACTAATAGTCTATGGTTTAGATTATATTGTATATACTGCATTAAATGAATAATGTGCATTAAATGTATGTTAAAAAATATACTCTTTTCTTCTAAAATTATTTTATCTCTAGTATCTTCGCCTTCATATCACTTCTTCATATCTTCATAATAATATTGAATTAGTCAAGGAATAAGGAATCGCGCTTGGCTATTTGTATTACATTGATAAAAAAAGAAAATATTATCATAATTAGTATTACTAGGTTATATTATTAAAAATTCATAAAAATATTATCATAATTAGTTTCTAAGTCGTATTATTAAAAATACGTAAATACCGTATCTATTTAATTAAATCACATGCAAGAAGAAAAAACAACGTGAGAGAGAGAGAGAGAGAGAGAGAGAGAGAGAGAGAGAGAGAGAGCGCAACGGAATGAAGAAAGAGCGCAAATAATAAACGTAGGACTGCAACGGGTGGAAAAGAGAGAGAACTGCATCCTACATAATAACTAGGAAAGAACAATAGGTTAGAGAGAGAAGGAACGAAACCACTTCCCTCTTTAATACAGACCCCCAATGACGTGCTTCCCCCTCCCTCGGATCGTCTATGACTTCGCTTTCCCACTAGAGCCACCTGCTGGTTGCTGTATCCGTGAGTTAGAATCGGTGTTTATATTCTGATGATTATGACGTATTTTAATGTAAAATTTTGACATTTCGGATTTCGCATCGCGATATTTACGTTAGTAAAATACGCAGAAAGTAAAAACCCATTTATTATATAATTTAAACTTAAATTATCGCGGATTGAAACTACTCAGAAATTGATAGTGTTACGTCCGAGCGTCCAGTTCTCGCGAACGCGTTCACATACTTCCGGTCCGTAGAAATGAACAACACGGATATTATAAAAAGAACAAGAAAAATTTATTGTGAAATGAACACATATACGTAAAGCTCGGAACACACAAGCGATGAGAAGATAAGCGGATCGAGAGACACGTACGAGCGTAGCGATTTGACTCACGTCCAAATCTGCCGATCTTGTTAAATAACGGAGCCACGTGTCGGATAAAGCGACTTTCAAGACTTCACAAGTGATAGCTATGGCACAGCACGGCACGGCACAACACTACACTTCTTCCGTTAAATTTCGACAATTGTGATTTTTTTCAAAAACGTTGGCCTCCTTAAGGAATTCGAGGTTCCCGACCAGTTTCTTACTCTCTACTGTGCTACTCTCTACTGTGCAGCAGTTTCCTAGAGCTCTAGGGCCCGATCCTCCGGGCCCTATTCTTGAGGCCTCCTGAGTCTTCTTCCTTTCCGAGCAGAACCTTCCTTTTCAATTCTTCCCCAGAGTATAGTTAAACCTCTGTAGGATGGGACCTGCTTGGGCATCCTCTCGTCTTCATGAAGGGAACTCCAGAATCCTCTTGCCTCTTCTCTTGAAGCCTTGTGCTTTCTTCGAAAAGAAGAGGGGGGGGGGAAATTCTATTTTGATTTTACCGCGGTAACTCTGTCTCCAATTCCTGCATGCGCTCCGTCCTGCAGAAAAATCTCGGTTCAAAAACTGCAGGAAAGGCAGTCTTCTTAAAAAAATAATAATAATAATAATGTAAGGCCGCACGGTTGAAGCGCGTTTGTTAATGTCCTCCGTCTTCGTAGAAGATGATCCTGTTGGATCAGCTATGAGGCACCAAAAATGACTTCACTGGAGCCCCCGGAGAGATCCTCTCCGCGTCATATGCCGCGCGAACGTGAATTCTGCAACTGAGAAAGAAAAAAAAATAACTCGTGCAATTTACATTATAAGATTACAAATGAACAAATTGTCATGCACAGCTTATACTATAAGATTACAATTCTTTTCAAGTAATAGGGATTTGTTAATAGAACTTTTTTTAGCTCGTTTCTCTTAAATGTCTTTCTAAATAAGACGCCAGTCTATCTGAATGTACTTTATTTTTATACTTATTCGACTTACGAATACAATATATGCATAATAATTCACTTAATTTTTTTACTATAATATGGGCCTTCCCAATTATTCTGCAACTTCGGAGTTCTCTGTTTCCTTCTTCGATTGTATAGCCAAATTTTTTGTCCTTCCTTGAAATAAATTTCAAGATCTGTCCTTCCGATCGTATTCCGTCAGATTTTCATTTGTGAGAATTTGATATCTACCTGCTCTCTTACACTTGTATGAACTTCTTCCAACTTTCTCTTCACCTTTCTCACGTAGCATTCGAGAGAACTCACCTCCTCAGTTTCAGGAAGGCTGCTGCGTAACAAGTCAATTGGCGGCAGAAGATCCTGTGCAGAGTACAGTTCTGCTGGAGTCATCCCAGTTGTTCCGTGCTTGGAAGATCGATACACCAACAGATCTAATGGAATCCATCGGTCCCAGTCCTTCTGATTCTCAGAAACATATAATTCATCAAATAATTTAAAATGGTACGATGCTATCTTACTTTCCCGTCTGATTGAGGGTATAAAGGAATCATTTGTCGTTCTTGTCTTCTTAATTCCTAACAAGCGTGATAGTTTTCGAAAGATTCTCGATTTAAAATTTCTTCCTTGATTGGTATGGATCTCTAAGGGAATTCCGTATCTGGAAATAATTTGATTTAGAAAGATTTCTGCAATAGTTTTAAATCTTATATTCTAAATGGAGAAAAGCTTCCACCCATTTAGTAAAACAATCGACAACAAGTCAATACTTACTTCCGGAAGAATTATTGGCAGAAGGCTGAGAATATTCATCTGAATTCTTTTAAATGGGGCTTCTACATTATACGTTTGTAAAGAAAATTTTCCTTTTCCAGACGGACCTCCTCTAGCTAAGCAGACCTGACATACATGTTTTGCACCACATCTTGTTTACATGTTGCCCAATAAAATCGCTTCCGCACTTTATGGAACATCTTGTTGATATTAAAATTGCCTTCCTGTGGAGGAGTAGTGTAGCTTCTCCAAAATCTGCGTTACGAGCTTTCTAGGTAGATTAATTGAAGAACTCTTTTCTTCAAGTTAGGAGCCTTCCATCTCTTGTATATTGTCTTTGACTTCAAGAGAATCTCAGTACACTTTAGCGAAGATATCCTTTGCTACTATCTCTTGCTATAAAGGACGCTTTACCTTTGCTTCCTTCTTAGAAAGAAAGGTAAATGTAAAGATTTCCTATTAGGTGTACAACTTCATTTCCGCCGTTTGTTTTCCAAAATTCGAGGCTTTTGTAAAAAAGCCTGGTTATACATTTATGATTCAAAATATTGTCCATCGCTGGCCACTACTTTTTCCCATCTTTCGGGTAGCGTATGAATCCCGCGTCGAAAAAACTGGTCATCTTTTGAGGCTATCCACGAATCGATCCAATTTTTTACTTCTTCATAAGACCGGAAGTGCTGGTCAGCCAGGCCGTGTGCCATTGATCGAAACAAGTGATAGTCAGAGGGAGCAACGTCTGGAGAATACGGCGGGTGGGGTAGGACTTCCCATTTCAACATTTCCAAATATGTCTTGACCACTTTCGCAACATGGGGTCGAGCATTATCA